TAAAGTGTGTTAAAATTTGTATGTACCTTTGTTGATTAAGTGTGACTTACTACCATTTTCTTCGATAAAGTATGGACCAATGACTCCGTGTCCCGAAACTGCACAGCAGACACTCACGTTTGCGGCATGAAAAGAAACTTCATCTGGTCTGGCAAAGCTCAGAAATCGATTTGTGCGACGATTTTCATAGCCAGACAAATGAAAATGTGCTTCGTCTGAAAATCTTCGTTTTTTCAAAAATTCAGGATTTACGTACTGTAAGCAAGAATTCTGGCACAATATTCTACCTTACTCTGATAATCCCTAGGATTTAATTGTTGATGTATCTGAATCACATACGAAAATGAACCCAGCTACTTCAGGGTTCTTTTCAAGGAAGTTTTTAAGCCAAGATGCAACGCTGTTCTTGTCTTGCTGGCTTTCGGATTTTCCAAGATTTTGGCTTTCTCATTCGACTCAAATTTCTGCTCGAAGAGTGACTGTTTCAAGTTTGGAAACAAAAAGAAGTCGCACGCAAATCTGAAGAATACAGTGGATGGAATAGCAGTTTGGTCCTTCTCCAGGTAGTCGATGTTGAACACAGCTTGTGAATCCCAGAAAACGGTGGTCATCAACTTTCTGGTCCATAAGACAGTCTTTGCCTTCTTCGGAGCCCGTTCACTGGGTAAAGTCGACTGTTTCGACTATTCTTTGGTCACTGGCGTATACTAGTGGTTTCATGTGTCGTAGTCGTCACGAAACGACTCATAAACTCTTTCAGATTGCGTTTAAACCGCGTCAAACACTACTCTAAAGCTTGACAGGTTTCTCATGTCTAAAATTTCATGCAGAATCTAACCCACGCATTATATTGATATACATACTGTCTCAACTATCTCGTGCAGATTCAATCGGCGGTATGCCAATACGAGATCGTGAATTTTTGTCACGTTATCCTCAATGTTAGCCGTTTTTAGGACACCTGGTTTGTGGACACCTCAAAAACCGACATCCGAACACGTCAAAACAATTTTACAAGCTGTTTTAATTCGGTAAACTAATTTTTGACGGTCGCCATTGAAGAAGAGTCACTATACACAGCATCAAAGCTCTGTTTGATTTCTCTTGACCGATATTGCTCTTTCTTCATTTTTTTGAAACATGCCCACTTACACACGCGGCCAAAACAAAATTACTAGGCTGAAATACGATTTTAAATTTCACTTGCGACAGTGGCGCCATCGGGCTGCGGGGCTAAGTACTTATCGGACCGCCCTTGTACTTAGATAAAACATGGATTTATTTTTTCGTGGCCCCCGGGATGTAGGCAGCAATATATTATTTTCGGATAACAACAATAGATGCCTTTTAGGTCGAGTGAAAGGGTGATTCAGAGCCCACTCATATTGAAGTTAACCTAACTATTTTCGGATATACTGCTTCACATAACTTATTTCAATCATCAAACTTTTACAAAACTTAATATCACAAAATAATGTTTTTATTTGTAAATCTAGAAAACGTTGAGAATTGTGTATTTTCAGCTACATACCTATTTGAAATATTACCTTTTTATAGGTACATAATCCAGATTATAGACTTATTATAGGATATCCGGATACAAATACTCTTAAAGAAATGAAAAATGTGCCAAATGAAAGTAACACAATTTTTTTATATTTAACAAACATATTGTACTTAATTTTTACAATACTTTTTTTATTTAATTACTTAATAATGATCTCAATCGAGTTTGTTTATTCAAAAATTGTTGCATCTGAATTTCAATGACCAATCGATATAATTTAGGTATATATTTTTGTAATTTTTTAAATGTATAATTATTGTAATTCGAAAGAGCAATTTTTGAAACAAAACCACAGTTTATCTGAATATATGAGAGGACCGGTAAGTATTTGGATATTAGCTACGAATGATATATATGGCATTAAACTAAAACGGTTGAATCCAACATATAGTTTAAAAAAACTCTTGCTTGGTTTCATTCTATCAACTAGCTATGCGTTATACTTTTTCTTATTTTTAATAATGCCATGTTTGTGTTCACATTACATTACCATTGTTGAATGTATTGCACGACATATATCACTCAATAATCTGTTTGTGTGAACAAAATAGGTATAGTTAGGTGAATGAGCAATAGTACCATTTCGCCCAATAGTAAAATTGACGCTAGATAGCACCATTTTACTGTTTCAGATTCAGACAGTCCCAAAGTATTGACGAAGAATACTGTAACTAGAGTTATAACTCTCATGATATTCTTTGTCTGTAGCAAATTCTTTATTTTGATGCCAGCTGTTAATCGCTTAGTTAATGTCCAAATATTTGTAGACGCCCTGTAAAAATAATTTGTAAACTTGCTGAAGCGCAAATATATTCTTATTGACGATTTCTGAATATGTAAATGTTTTATGTATATAAAATTATAAAAGACTATTATTTTGTAAATTTAAGGATAGGTGTAAGGATAAAATATACAATGTATTTGTAAATACATAAATCTAGTGTATGCACTTTTATTTGTAATTGAATTATTTGTAAATAAATGTCTATTTAAAATTTACTGTTTTTATTTATTATACTGCTTTGGGGTAACAGCATTTTAAATCTCAGGCCATAATTTGAAACAAAAATTTCATGTATTTATTATATTTACATTAAATCCTCTATAAAATATGAATATTCTGTTGTATCATTGGGGAACATCAAGTTACTTGAAGTCATTTTAAATTATAATAAAACAAAAATCTGTTTGAGCGCTATCTATAAATCGCCGACAGTAAACATAAATCAGGATTTGCATCAATACCTCATTAGTAAAAACGAATGTCTTTTCATATATTAGTTGGTGATATGAATATTAATTTGTTGGAGGATGTAGATCACACTGAAGAATACCAAAATATTCTAGCTTTACAAAATTTCTTGTCTTATATAAATAAAACAACTAGACCTAGAAGTCAAGCTTGTATAGACCATTTCTTTATAAAAAGATCTGCCGATTGCGATTACACTAAGTGTACACCTACATTGGAACCGTATTTCTCCCGATCCGATATCGGGCGACGTCGGATTGAAAACAAACTCCTGGTATTAAATCATAGTGCCTATACTGCTTCCATGACGAAGCAGTATAGGCACTCTGATTTAATACCTTGAGTTTGTTTTTAATCCGACGTCGGCCGACGTCGCCAGATATCGGATCGGGAGAAATACGGTTCCAATGTAGGTGTACACTTACATAAATTCATTTATATTTGAAAATAATACTACTTCAGATCATTATCCAATGGCAGTTTCCATCCATAGTCTAACCAAAACCAAAGAAAACTAAAGAAGTACATTAACTACAAAAATCTAAAAAACAATTTGAAGCAGGAAAAGTGGTTGGATATTTACAATAAAATAAATAAAAATGAAGCGGTAAAACTTTTCATCGACAAAATTTTAAATTTAATAAACAAAAATACAATTATTTTAAAAAGAAATGATCTAAAAACCACTTTTAACAAAGATTGGATGACAGAGGAACTTTTAAAGTCTGTACATGAAAAACATGTTGTATGAATGATCAGCTAATCCAAGATCCACAGATAACTTAAAAAACAACGATATACAGATTATAAACATAAATTAAGACTTTTAGTTAAAACTGCAAAAAGAAATTATACAAAACAAGAAATTGAAAAAAATAAGACCTCTTTTTCATCACTTTGGAATGTAATTAATCCATTGTGTGAAAAAATAAAATGAAATACAAAAATTGAATCGGTTAAAACCAAAACCGGAGAAACAATAACTGATGAGAAAAGAAATTGCAAATGAATTTAATACACATTACAGTACATTAGGACAAGGATATGCACAAAAAATACCCATTTGTAATGACGAGATTGAGGAAATAGATAGGATAGAAAGCAGGATGTATTTGTATCTCATTGACCAAAAAGAAGTGGTAAACGCAATACAATCTTTAAAACACAAAAAATCTTCTGACTGGCATGGTATCAAGAGAGAAACCATCAAACAAATTAAGGAAGATACTCCTTTAACTTTTCTCATTAATGCATGTTTTCAGGATGGTTGTTTTCCAGAATGTCTGAAAATAGGCAAAATCAAACCTCTGTTTAAAACAGAAAATAAAGAAGACGTGGTTAACTACAGACCAGTCTCGTTGTTATCTGTTTTTTTCAAAATATTTGAAAAAATTTAAAAAATATACTAGTAGGTTTTTTGGATAGGTTTCGTATAATATCGGATTGCCAATACGGTTTTAGAGAAAGAAAACCGACACAAGATGCTATTTGTAAACTAACTTTACAATTATCAAAAGCTTTTGAGGCTAATAAACGTAGTTTACGCATATTCGTCGATCTCTGTAGGGCGTTTGAGACAATATCTCACGAGATCTTGTTGAAAAAACTTGAGAACTATGGTCTGAGAGGACGGGTTTCGACATTACTAAAAAGTTACTTAACTGAAAAAAGAAAAATTGTAAGTGCAGAGAAAATAAATAGATGAAAAAAAATATATAAAAGCTATTTAAAGACGACGAAAGAATGGAGACAATAGAACCAGGAGGTAAAAATGGACCTTCGACTACCTAAGGGGAAATTAAAAAAGCTCTAAAACTTAATAAAAATGATAAAGCCATGGACCGAATGAAATATATACAAGAATCTTGCGATTGCTAATTGATAAGAACATTGATATAGATAGGTATAAAGCATATACAATTCTTGACGATTAACACCTTCTTTTCCTAAAAGTGATATTTTGAAAAATAATATATAAATAATCTGCCCATTAAATATTTTTATCCTGTGGGTACAAGTTAATTTTCTGTTTCGGTAAGTGGGCTGTTTTAATGTCAAAATATATTGACGGGCAAACTGACAGATAAACAATACGGGTGATATCTAATTTCTATTAATTACCTAGTTATTAGTTCATTTAAATTTATTCAAATTATTTTGTATGTATTATAAATATCAATTATGGAATTATCAAATAATGATCTGGAAGAATATGTGGAAAAACTTGAAAATGTTTTCTATGTGAGTATTTTAATACCAATTTTTAAATAAAATTTATCAAATTCAACTAAATGTTTATCTGTCTAATAATACTTTTTACTGTAAGGTTATTTCTAGATTTCTATGTCTGCTTTTCTTCTAGAACCAAAAATCCAATAAAAAGAACCGAAATGAATTATCATTACTAATTGAAAATGTTTGCAATGAATTACGGATTAGTAGAGACTCAGAAAAGTCAGTAGTTGATAATTTTCAAAAATTACTAAATAGTAAAGATAATGATATTAACGATAAGTATGTTCAACTTGAAAGTGAGTATTTTTTAACTAACTGTGAAGTTTAGAAACAATTAAAATAAATATAATTCGAATTTAAAGAAAAGTGTATCGATGATTAAAACAATATTAAGAATAGAAATAAGTGACAGATGTTTCATTTCCTGTTTCTTAATTATTTTGTTTTTTCTTCTTCAGTAGTACAATGATTTTTTGCATGATTTCTAATATGACGAACATGTTGTTGGGTGTTATTTACTAAAAGTGCAGAAGTGAAATTAAAGTTAATTAATTAAACTGTAACGAAAAATTAAATTTAAATAAACATAAATTAAATAGATGATGTAATTAAGTTAAGTACCTAACTGTTTTAATCAGGTAAGGTTCAGTAGCGCACCTAGAATTTTCTTCTGGGGGGGGGGGGGGGTTTTGGTAGAGCACCGAAATTTTTTTATGCTACCTACACCATTTTAAGTCCATAAAATTTGCGAATAACAGTATCGGAATAGGGTCCTGGGGGGGGGGGGGTTTAACCCCTTCTTACATTGATAGTGAAATAAAAATTATTATTGTCCCTCTCCAACAAACAGTGTAATATAATTTATTGTTTTTATACTTACCGCCATCTGTCAGATAATTATAATACCTACTTGTCTGAACAGAGACTCTTCATTTTTGTAAAGACCATCCATACCAACGTATGACGTGTATTATACGTCATTGATCCAAACAATATAATACATCGATATAGAATATTATATCGATTAAAGAACATTCAATTTATTTTTATCATTTTTTTGTAATTGGTGTCAAGGCCGACCAATTCTCCATGCCGGAACATTGGATGTGCCTGTAAAATTTTACCTTTCTTATTGTTGTTTTGATACGAAGATGCACGAAGTTCATGATTTCTTAGGAAGCATCACGAAGTCGATCTTATGTTTGAAAATATTTTCGCCATTTTGGTGTTTACATATTTTATGTGACAAGCAAATTTTATTTTAAATTGTTGAATTATTTACTTACTATTTAAGTAAAATGCCATACTATTTTATAAAAATAATTTTTTCTTTTATAGACGGGAACAAAAAAAATCATAATTTAATTTAAATTAAAAAAATAATTATTGTCATTAAAATATAAATGAGCACGCCGCTGTTCTGGTAAACATACCTTCAACCAAAGAATATAGACGCTATAAGCAGAGAATACTCCATCCCAACATTGTTGGAATGGCGTATTCTGTGCTATAAGCATCTATATTCTTTGCTTCAACCTTGAGTGGAGATCTTTAGGACAACCGATTATATATAGCGAGAATACGGGACTGCTTAGTTTATATATTATACGTCATTGGTTTCGACATTAATTAGATCTTGATATTATTGTTTCAAAAAGAATACTTCTCTCTGACTTTTTTGTTTTTGAGCAGAGCTAATTGAATAAGGGGATGTCAAAGGAGTCTGAAGCCACAATTATCTTATAATTTTTTTATAATAACTCCTTAATTTTGATTTGTGCATTTATGTTCTTAAAAACTGAAATGATACTGGCTATAGTTAGTTTACCCTACAGAGTCAATAAACAAGTAAGGTTTGCTTGTATTATACCTAGTTTCAGACGGATTTACTTGGTTCCGAATATTAAAATTTCTAAACTTTTTAGATGTGTGTTACAAACAAAACATTGAAAATAATTTATTAAAAAAGAGAGTTGAGGAGCTCACTATACAAATTAAATTAGATTTAGAAGCTCAAAAGAATGAATATGTGACAAAAATTCAAGACATAGAGGAGAAATGTAACTCAGAAATCACTAATTTAAAAAATCAACTGGAAAGTGGAAGAATATGTTACGAAGCAAAAGGTAATAAAGCTTAATCTTTTTGACCTCTCTCAGAAATTTCCGCTACACCACTGAATTTCAGTTTGCGTTTTGTGTTGCATATGTATAAGTGTTTCTTTGTATGCTTATAATAATTAATTATTACTGCTAAGGATATTTATTATTAAACCTAGGTAGAACGAAACACTGTTAGATGACGCAATATGTATTATACGCGAAATAATATTAGGTCGTAAAATGTAAATATTCCATGGCTACCGTTACCCCAGCGGTCACCTTTATCCCTTTCCCCTAAACTTATTCCACTGCAATGTGATGTATTATTTCGTCTCCTGGTTGGTTATATATTTTGTTGTCCTTGGTATGAACTCTTTTGTTTGATTTATTTCCTATAATATACCTGTATTTCCTATATTTGCCGATATACTATAATAATAATATACTATAATTCCTATATTTTGTACATATATAGTTTCTATGCTATTGTTATTTGTCCGTTATTTGTTATTTTCTATATATTTCTCTATTTTTCCTCCTGCTTACTGTCGTTACTTGTTTCCTTCTTCCTTAATATACTTTCCCTTTTAATCGATAGTTTCTTTGTAAACGTTTTTTTTTTTTAGATTTTCGGTTAATTTGATTTTTAATTTATTTCCCGTAGCCTAAGATTCGTTGACATTTTATAATTTACTTAGTACACAAATGGCTATTTACTAGTTTACAATTTTTTGTGTTTCAATTCAAGAAAAAGAACTTTACAATGATTTGCAAATGGCGCAGACTGCGAATGCGTTAGAATGGAGTGAGAAGGAATCACACCTAAAAAATCAACTTACAGATGCAACTTCAAATTTGCGATTTTGTAATAGCAAAATTAGGAGTATGCAATGTGAAATGAATCAATTAAGAGCCCAATTGACCCTTTTGGTAAGATATTTACGTTTTAATCTTTCTATCTTATACATTTTGTTTTCTTTGACTTTATTATCCATATGCAGATAGAAATATAGTCCGTCTAGAGCGTATCCGAGAAAGGAAACCATAATTATAATGTTTCTGTATATATTTTTGTTACTAGTGTTATAAAATTACAAGCAGTAATCAAATAATATTATTTTATCTAAGTTTACGCATGGACAGAGTTATAGCATCTTGTATTATTCTTCTGGATCAATAGTTGTTCGAAATTCTCACAAATTGGTTATTAAATATTTATTCGTTTAAAGAATGTTTCTATCCTTGTACTTTCACCTCGGGATATCCAGCCGCTAATTTTAGGAAAGTACACTGATCCTTCTATTATGAATAGTTTGGTACGGTACGGTACGGTAGCGGACAATACACGGGCAATTCCGATGTTTGTGATGTCTGGCATCAGCTTTCTTTTTCTACTTCAAGTCACGCAAAAACAAAACATCAAGATAGTCGCAAGCTAGTCGTTGTAGAAGATACAAGAACACGCAATATCTTCTCCTCGTGAAAGACTTGAAAGATAGTCAAAGAATAGTCGTTGCAGACGACACAAAATACAATACTAATATTGTCACAAGTGCGGCATATCTAGCAACAGATACCCAAGAACCCGACAGATAAGGTAATGGCATATGTCGTATGATCTCATATGCTCATATGATCTCAGATGCACTATCGTAGTTTTAGTTTCCGGTTATTTTCATTAGTTGTAGTATTAGTAATATTTTTCTTTCTTATTTAGCTTTCTTAAATATTTACTTGTTCCTTTGTTAGATTTTTAGTTAGGATAAATGTGTTCAAATCACTGTCCCTTTATATTCATTATGCTAGACTTAAGACTTTTAGGAAGCAGTCTCGCTGGTACATTAAGTTCATAGCAAATTACCTATTCTCAGTGAACATGATACTGAGATTGATTAATAATTTCATATACGTGAGGTCTGATTACAAGCCTCCCAACAATAGTAGAAACTTTCGAATTCAGAAATCACATACTACTATCGGGAAGAAATAGTGTATTACAAATGATGAATGAGTTTTATGTCAGCAAAGTAGAGAGAGGTAATCGCAATAAATTGTATTGCAATTTCTTAACTGATATTTCATTAATTAAAAGGAGTATTTAGGTCATATTCTCAGACAACATACTAATGTTAAAAATACAAATAAGAACAAGAAAAGTAAATGTATTATAAGCATAAAATATGGCCTGAGAATACGAAATGAAAGATAAGAAAAAACGCAATTTTCAAACTGCCAAAGCTTCGTCTGTATATTTGAAGATCACCAGCAAAGACAACTAAACGAGTAGTTCATAGTCAAATAAACTTCATGGGTATAAATGAAAGATATAGAAATTCAGTACTAACAGTAAAAATATATTCAAGTGCAGATATACCAGCAGATCATAATATTTTAGTAGGAAAAATAAGACTGAGAGGGAATAGTGTTACGAGAGCGTAGATAGTAGATAGGTAGCCACTTTAGTCCTCATTGACCTTTGACCTCGGCTTGAACCGTACGCGCATCCGCTTAACAGTTACTATTGATAGAGAAAATATAGCAAACGATACTGTAACAGAAGATTTTGTAAAAGAAATAACCAGTGTACTAGAACAACAAAGTTGATATTAAGCAAAGTGGATATTAAGTACTGAGGAAAACCAGATGAGAATGAAAGATATATTAAATACCGCTCAGGAAATAAAATTGAGTGTAGTAAAAACACGTTTTGTGATTTCGTACTAATTGTAGTAATTTTTTAAAGTTTTTCTTTTTTTATTTGTGATATATTTCACAATTTTGAAGCAGTTTACAATTAACAATATTTGAAAGATGATGTTACCTACGTGTTTTTTATACTTTCATCCTAGCCTACTATTTGTAAACGCATTACTTTTAGCATAAAAACAAAATATATTAAAAAAACGAATAATATAAAATTTCGGATACTTTCCAGACGGACCATTTTAATTAGATTTTGATTAGATTTCTCCAATATACAACCTACGTGATGTTTGAATTCACCATTATAACTTTACTCAATATCAGAGTAGAGTTTTTGTCGAAATTTCAGTTTTTCTCTAGAAAGATAAAAACTGGAACTATTTATGAGTAGGGGATAGTGACGTAAAATGGTCCCTGTAAATTTTTTTTGACTACAAATAACAAAAAATGAAATTAAATTAAGTACAGTTTAATCAAACAAGAATAGGGGTATAGCAGAACATATTTCTTCGAAAAAATTGCATCTAAATATGCAAAAAAATAACATTATTTTTTAATGCTCTACAGGGACCATTTTACACCACGGTTTGCGTAAAATGATCCCGTACAGGAGGTAAAATGACCCCGACGTCTTTTTTTACAAAGTAATACAACATTTCTATTTGAAAATATCGCAAATGTACCATTTCTCCTTTCCAGTTACACGAGCACACAATAAATGAGATAATTTATTGCACAAATTGCACTTAATCTTCTAATCCTCCTTATCTCCGCCTATAGACAGCGTCGTATTCATCATCATCAAATCTCTTATTTTCTTTCTTTTTTCCAAACACCCTTCTGCTTATAGCTTTTCTACCTGTTTGTGGAGTTGGCTTTGTTGTTTTTTGTTTTTCTTTGATCAAAAGATAATTTGTTGTGGAGGTGAAATAGTTGATCCTTGAGAAGATCGTGAATTTCTTGTCTGAGCAGGTGCCTGAGATAGTGAAGATATCATTTGTAGTTACAAAAGTATCCTCCAGACATGACGAAATTTCATTCCTTTTAATGCCACCTTTTTACTCTGAAGTGCTTACTTCGGAAATTGAGAGTGAATTCCAGATGACCTGCAGAATTTATACAAAGAACACGGTGCTATTTTGTACCCTTTCAGTTCTCAATAGAAATCTAACCTGTTTTCGCCCTTTATGTGATAAAATTTTGGGAAACTTGTTAGGGACCGTCTGGATACCAGAGTCTTCCATATTATATATTCTAATATGATTGATGTTATTCTTTTTAAAAGTCTATTATTTCTGTAACTGCCACGGCAAGTTCTTACCATTATTTCTATAGAGACGATACATTTGATTGTTATAAAAAATATTCCGGTACAATTCAAAACTTTATTTGGTAGGCTACGTTAGGGTAAAATGGTCGCCCAATTCGTTTTACCTCAACATGGAGGAACTATTTTACTTCTATTTATTTTACTAAAATCTAATCAAAACGAATTTACATGAGCTACTTCTGATAATTAAAGAAATAAAAACGCCTAAAAATACATCTTTTATAAGCACAAAATTAGCAATATTACGTGTTTTAAAGTGTCTTTACAGCTTCGTACATAGGTGGCGCTAGTAGTACTGAATATATTAAACAAACCTGTTTTATCAGAAATATGACCATTTTATCTGAAGGGATCATTTTACCCAACTTATCCTGTCATATATGGCTTTTAAAATACGGTATTCCGAAAGGAAATAACACTTATTTCATATTTTTAGAAACATGCTCCCAAAGAAAATGTACTTCATTTTAAGCCAAATCCTATTCAACAAATCAAGAGCAATTTGGCTCAGAAACAATATCAATTTTACGAAAGTGTTGATTCAAATTATGACCAAAATCTACCGTATGACTCTTATTACACATCAATAATTTCTACAGACGTCGAAGATAACAATAACGAAAATGTCGACAACTCAATGGATAAAATCAATCCTACTAAAAACCTAAATAATTTTACGGGACCTAATTCTACTATAACTGGTAAAACTCAAGCAGATACACAATTTGTAGGTTTGGATAATGGTCGTGAGAGTGGTCATTACTATCAACCCTTACCTACAAATTGTTACACATCAAATATGAAAATAAACAAACATGAGCAGAGTCATACCCCAGAGCAACAAAATATGGAGTTTAAAGCACATAACAAGACAAATTTATCAGAATCTAAAATTTCGAGCACTGTAACTATCTTAAATAAAAGTTCAGAATCGCTAAACATTATTAACAAAGTGAACAATAATACTGGAGCGCGTTCTTCTGTAGTAAATATAGAAAAAACTTCAACCAGAAAAAATAACTTACCTGCTTTGAAACCATGCAGCACCAGTTCTAATGTAAAAGATTGTAAACGTAAGAAAAGAAGATTGTACGATCCGAGTAATTCGGAATTCTTTTAATTAAAAATATAATCAAGTATTAAACGTTTCTGGTCTTTTAAATTTCTCTTTCTTCTCCTCACACCTTAGCGGATAAACTCCTTTTATTCGCTAAAGTGTCGGATTTTTTGTTGCGTTCTATTTTCTTTTTCCATTTTCAAAAGAGGTAAAAAAGACAATTATAAGTCAGAAATTATTAAGAAAGCAAGGCTGTGTGGGGGAAAATATGAAAATTGTAAAGGTAATATTGTACCTGCAAGAAATCCAGGAGCAGACGATCGGTAAGTTTTAAGGTTAAGATAGTTTTAAAACGTAAAATTATTATAGATTTTTTGTAGTTGTCGCTTGAAGTGCTTTGACAAAGTTAATGCGGATGTAAGGGCTGAAATACTTGCCAAATTCAGAAGCATGCTTACCAAGAATGCACAAGATTCATACTTACAAGGGCTTATGGGAAAGTGTGAGGTAAAAAGAGACAACCTCGAAATAACAATCCAAACTACAACGTCTTTGGAATTCACAATATGCAAAAAAAAAACAAGGGATGTTTTACACCTACCACGAGGATCAAGCCAGAAAGGGTCCCAATGAAGTTGCTTCATTTCTTATGGATTATATCAAGTCTGAAGTGCCTACTCCTGTGAAACATCTTCACTTATTTTCTGACAGATGTGTTGGTCAAAACCGGAATCATATTGTAGTGAGATTTCTACTTTCGTTAGTAGGGTAAACTGGTCCATAGTGGGACGTTTTTTTTCAAAAGTGTATAGCACCTTGATTAAGCATTTTTAAATTATAGTAAGGGTACCTATGCATGGGTATGGATGTAATGAAGCAAACTAATAATAATTTCAAGTAATCCTTTATTTATAATAAATGTTATTCAACAAGTTCCACTATAGACCACTCGTCTCACTATGAACCACTATATGGTCCATTGTGGGAATCATAGTGGTCCATAGTGGGATTTTTAGTAAAAGACTCTTTTATTCTATTTTAAATTGTAACAAATTAACAGGGAACATAAACTGGCGAGCAGCCCTAGCTGTACTTCCACTAATGGAAGGAGGGGGTAGTTTTAACAAAATATCTTCTGCTTCTACGGTATCTACATCGGGTTTATCGGGGAAAACAAATTTGCCGGCCACAATTCTCTTCATGAAAGAGATATTATATTCATCTCCACTTATTTTAATAACCTGACCGACATAATGTTTAACAGTTTTTTTTGTCATGTATCTCACTATAACATAGTCATGACTTTGAATAGACAAATCTTGATTATCTGATGTGGAGCTTTCTAAATCGCTAGAATCGTTGCAGATTTCTTCACTAACATCACTGTTCGAACTAATGTCGTCATTAAAAACTTGACGTTTAACTTTCTTTCTTTTCTGCTTTTTCTCTTCTGAAAATGTTTTTTTAGCCAATCTTTCTTTATGCTGTTCCTCTATGGCATCTTTTATGGGGGTGTCTGTTATTATTGCTGATTGTAACTTCTTTCTGCTTCTTCTAAGGTTTTTCCTAGGAGCAGCTTTGACATGTGGCCTAATTTGCTGAGGGGTTATTATATTGGATGGGCCATTAATTGGGCTGACATGTCGTGGTTCATCTACATCCTGAACATCCTCCACATCCTGAACACCTTCGTTAGCCTTATGTTCATTACCATTTTCATTTTCTTCGGACCTATCAGTGACATAAGATGACATAAAATCACTCTCTGAAAAAATTTGGGAATTCAGGGGCGCTATGCCTGTTTTTTTAAATCCGTTGAGAATGTTGACAGGAGTGAATGCTTTAGGGTAGGCGATACCAACAACATTACAAACATCATAAATGCTCATAGGTATGGCAGGATGATTTAGCATCCAGTCATCAACTCCTTGGTTATAATAACTTTTAAATGGAAAGAAGCAACTCACGTCTAGCGGTTGTAATTTATGACTGCAATGGGGCGGCAATGTCAATAAAATAATCCCATTCTCTTTACATAGATTCAGCACACGAACATCGTAACGGCTCTCATGGTTGTCAAGAATAAGTAGAACTGGGATTTCTTTACTGCATCGCACGTGTTTGATAAAGTGCTCTATATACTTTAAAAAATTATCTCCCGTCATCCAACCAGAAGGAAACGCTGCACCGGCTGATCCTAGAGGAGCCCCAGTAAGCATGAAAGGCTTAAATATTTTCCTCGGGAATACAAAGAATGGAGGCACAAAAGTCCCATTAGCGCATATTGCAGTGCACATTGTTATTAATGTACCTCTTTCAGCGCTTGTCACTTTTCCAATTTGTTTTTGTTTAATGCTAGCAAGTACCTTCCCAGGTTTATGCACATTGGTGACACCAGTCTCATCACAATTGTATATCTGGTTCGACTGGATATTATATTTCGTTATTACACTTCTCAAGTTTGTGAAAAATGTAGCCACGTTATGCTTGTTGAAGCTGGTGGCCCTGCCAAGGCTAGTTGCTTCTGGTTTTCGAAGCGATAACATAGGGTGTCGTTTCCTAAAATTATTCAACCATTCGACTCCAGCTCGTTTTTTCTCGTGCCAAGTTCGAGGCACCGTTTTATTGTTAGTAATGGCATACTTATAAGCCAATTCACGAGTATGTATTAATGTTAAGCCGTAGCACATTTCACAAGCTTGAATTATGTACTCGCACAATAGCTGTTCCTCTTTACTTGTAAATATTCTTTTGAAACCATGGGTTCGTCCATATTCAAAATCATTTGTGTTGTCTTCATTAGCTTTATTAGCTAATTTGAACTTCTTCACTTTGCGCTGTAGAGCTGACTTGCTTACACCGTGCTTTTTGGACGCATTCATCAATGACATTTGATTTTTTACAACATCTTCTACTGCAGAATGCATAGATCTTGCATATACTTCATGATTCTCTAGGCTTTTCTCGAAAACTACTGACAGTTGGGATCTTGGATATCTCGGCATATTCAATTCTGCAAAGAATGAAAATGTTTAGCATGTTTTAGTATATTTCAGCATAGACCGCATTCTATTATCATATCCCAGTATGGACCGCTTTTTTATTCCCACTATGGACCGTGGCGCATCAAAATACAAATGAGCAAAAATTTTATCGAAGTGGTAGAGCTAGGTTTAAATAGAATACGATAATATTGAGGTTATGTATGTTTTAGATATCCATACCAAATTTAAGTTAAATAGGATATATTTCGGGGAATTATTCGAAAAAATCTGAACATGGAAATAAAAATTTTCAGCTCATCACTCACCTGAATTTCCAAAATATCGAAACACATAGCAATAATTGAAAAACTAACAAAAGATTCGGAGGCGGTACTTGTATAATAGCACACACACTGAAATATAGCTCTACCGCGATGATAAAATAGCCAGGAGAGTGAAATTCCCACTATGGACCGGGTCCCACTATGGACCAGTTTACCCTAGATACTGGAAGTTTTAAAACCATAAACCAGTACTTTCTACAACGTGGTCATTCCTTTTTTCCGAACGATAGAAACTTTGCCACATGGTAATTTTGTTCCTTCCAAATAAAGCCTCATGCCACAGAGCGGCAAGAGGTCTGCAAATTTTTTGTTTTTTTCCCACTGGAACAAAGCTCTCATTGTATACGGTTAGGCGGTTGATAAATATTGCGGTTTTAAACAAATCTAATCTTAGCAGCATTATTACCTTCTCCAAATATGCACAGTACGTTGTACTAGTTGTATCAGTGCTGTTGTAGTCTTTTTCGGCATCATCAAGATATTTTGCACGTGCTTTTGTGGCTCTTTCTATAAGAAACTTCCATTCTGTGCATCCATCACATTCATTGTCAATGATATCTTTTTTATTTCTTAGATTGTGCAAATGCAAATTTTCACAAATTTCGCATTATTCATGTCAAAATTTTACAATAGAAAAGTTGCTTTGCCACTACCCTGTATTTTTCGTATGAACATGGAGTTTCTCGATTTCTTAAAATAAGTAAAGCCGACGGGGAGCATGTTCTCTCGTGTAATGAGAAATTGACGGCTTGTAGGACATAATATGATCGAATTACTTGGTCATTCAGTTTGTTATGTGAAATATGCGTCGCTGTCATGTCTGGTGGGGGTGCGATAAAATTTGGTGAAACTCCTAATGCATCCACACACATTTTGAACACTCAAAACAGACCAACCAGCTCGTACACTGCCTCGTTGATTTGCAGGACCGCCTATCACCCTTAAGCATAAAATACGCATGTCTTAGATTATTTTATATCATTCCCTAAGCCAAATTAACTTATCTATGAGATAGGTTAATTTTGCTTAGGAAAATGGAGTTAATTCAAATTCGATAAGGTTTTACAGCTATTTTTGAGATATGAGATATTTTATTAGCAGTTTTGAAGCTGTTTTAGCTTTATTAGCTATTTTGCTTAGTAAATTTGTTGCGTATAAGTATGTATAAAGACACTACACAACCTTTGACACAAAATTGGCAAAATATTAAGTTACGTCATTTTGGCTTAGGAGGGCAGTTTGATTGACACTGATTGCTAGTTGGTCGCCCGGCAAATTACTCTCCTGATTATTCATAACTTCCATGATAGTTCTAGAAACAATGTAGGAGCTGCACTTCGGCATTGCATACCACAATCTGTTTTCTGCTAAAGCTCCGCTTGTGATAGTCCAATGATAAGCCGGTCCAAAATCATTTCCTATGCGTCTTAACTTGGTGCTGACGGCTTCTGTTGCCTTTCGTGAAAAATGTTTAAGGTTTCGCATAATATGTATCTCCAGAGTCAACGATATGTTACAAAACTTAGTAGGAAGTGTATCAATAAAGTGAACAGTTTGCTAAAAAATGTATTAAAATTATTTTTATATACAAGCAATAGAAAAATCTTATAGTCTTACAACTACGTACACTAATTTTAAATTATTAACTGAAAATAAATAACTAAAACAACACTGATTTTTCTTGCTACCATATAAGACATAAATACAATGACACTAGGTGTAGATATTATTTGAAAACAGCTTCACAATAATTTTAAAATTAAAGCAAGGTAAATGTTGTTATACCAGAAATTTTAAAAAGCATTGTCCATTATTTTTGATAAGTACTCTCATAAGGGAGAATCATGCGTGGACACCTTGAACATAAGCTACAATATCATTACAGATAAAATTATATTAGAAGAAGCTATCACGTAATCACCTGTCATAAGACAACAAAAACCAAAAAAGAAAGGAACGACTGGGAACATATAGTTGCGCAACTGAATTAATATCAAAATATGATTTAAGTATAACCCCAAACACGAGTTGAAACATTAGGTACAAATTTGATGAGAACTGATGAAACCAATGGGCTTGGATCAGAGTTAGCGGTCCTGGAATGTGCTAGCAAGTTGATGACGATTTAGGGCCAAGTATTATATAAACATCGAGATTAACATTTTCAAATCCAGAGGGCACAAGAAGCAGAGGACGACCACGAATAAGATGGTTTGATGATGTGGAAGAAGACCTACAGATTCTAAGGGTTAGAACAGTGGTTCTCAACCGGTGTTCCGCGGAACACTAGTGTTCCGCGAAATAC